AATTAAAAACTATTTGAAGAGGCAGAAACTGCAGAAATTCTGAGTGTCTAATCAACCAGTGTGAGCAGACTGAATGGCTCGCAAGGCAAAATTAATCAGTTTGGAACTTTGCTTGTTGGGCAAAATATTAGCAGAAAACTTTCCCACTACTTCAGTTCAATAACTAGATAGCAGTTTCTCTAGTAAATAATACTGGAAATTCACAGGGGCTTATAACCATCCTATAGAAAACACTGTGCTAACATTCCGTTTTTACAACTTGATAATTTTTACAGACTTAGCTTCTTCAATAAAATGCTGAGATTATGCATTTTCCTATTTCTTCTTCCTCTTTCTTTCTTTCTTTTTTTTTTTTTATAGGTATGCACCACCACACCTGGCTAATTTTTTATTTTTTTGTAGAGACAGGGTCTATGTTGCCCAGGGTAGTTTTTAACTCCTGAGCTCAAGCTATCCTCCTCAGCCTCCTGAGAAGTTGAGGCTACAGATACCCACCACCACACCAGCTAAATTAAAAAAATTTTTTTTTTTTTTGTGGATACTGGATCTTGCTCTGTCACCCAGGCTGGAGCACAGTGGCACAACCACAGCTCACTGCAGCCTTGACCTCCCAGGCTTAAGCAATCCTCCTACCCCAGCTTCCTGAGTAGCTAGGACTACAGGCATGCACCATCACACCAGCAAATTTTTATTATTTTTAAAATTTTTTTGATTTTTTGTAGAGACGGGGTCTCGCTTTGTTGCCAGGGCTGGTCTCAAATTCCTGGGCTCAAGTGATCTTCCCTCTCTGGCCTCCTAAAGTGCTGGGATTACAGGTGTGAGTCACTGTGCCCAGCCGGATTTTCCTTCTCAACTCCTCATTTCATGGCCACCCTTTTAGGTGGACATTTTCCCCACATGCTGTCCTCCTTCTCTGTTCCACAGAAATCCCAAATCTTTGAAAATATCCTTGCTTCCTCACTACAAGTTGCTTCAGGCTTTTGTTGCTTGTCTTACCTGTGAGAATCCCACCCCACCTCGTCACGGAAACTCTGAACTTTGCACATGGGAGTGCGTATTATGTTTACCACCTTTATGGGATGACCCCAGAGAGGCCACTTTGTTTGATATCATTGAGAGTCCAAGAGTTTCATAAAGCCCTTTCCCATCATCCTTCATGTAAGAGCTTTTCCATTTTTGCCTCTATTCCTTCCAAGTTACCAGCTTTCGCCTTCTCTTTCAGGTACAATGTACTGTGGTATATGTCACACCAAACTACGTGTATATGTTCAAGTACGAGGCTCTGCAATGAGTCTGTGACATCAGCTATTAAACACCAATGGCCTAACTTATTGGGCCCTTGAATTAATTCCCTACTTTACACAATACATTTAAAACCTCATGCAACGGTATGACCTAGAACATGACATTTTTTCCTAGAGCTCTACATTTTTCATTGATAAAAACCACCTTGTTTAAATGTCCCATAAAGGAACACTTCAAATACATGTGCATATCACTGCAAACATTGTGAAATAAAGCCCATCTTACAGAAATAAAAACAAGCATGAAAACTTCCTTAACCTCATATTCCTTTCTACCTCTCATTTCTTTGTTTTCCTTTATGTCTCAACAGAGATGTCTCCACTATAGTCTTCAAGTCCTCCCATTCTCTCTTAAATATTCTCCAATACAGCATTCGCCTCCATTTGTTCACCAAAACTGCTTCAAGGTTACCAGTGACCCTCCTGTGGCCACATTCAATGACCACTCTCAGCTCTTGCCTCACTTTGCCTTCAGGAGTGTTTGATGGTTGACTCCCCTCTTTCTGGCAAAGTTTTTCTTCACTTAGCTTCCGGAACCCCACACCCTTCAGGTTTTCCTCCTATCTCTCTGCCACCCCTTCTCAATCTCCTTTGCTTATTCCTCCTTAAAACCCCACATCTTAAACTTTGGGGTGCTCCAGGGTTCAGTCTTTGAGATGTTTCTCTTCTCTATCTCCACTCCCTTGGTGATCTCTATTTTTTTTTTTTTTTAATTAACCCTGGGAGATGTTTTCATCTCTTGGTGGTCTCAATTAATTTGCTTTACCAAAAAAAAAAGACATAAGGTCTTGCTTTGTTGCTCATGCTGGAGTGCGGTGGCACAATCATAGCTCAGTGCTCGGGCAGGAACAGTGGTTCATGCCTGTAATCCTAGCACTTTGGGAGGCCGAGGTGAGCAGATCACCTGAGGTCAGGAGTTCGAGATCAGCCTGGCTAACATGGTGAAATCCCATCTCTACTAAAAATACAAAAAATTAGCTGGCGTGGTGGTATGCACCTGTATTCCCAGCTACTTGGGAGGCCGAAGCAGGAGAATTGCTTGAGCCGAGGAGGCAGGGGTTGCAGTGAGCCAAGATTGCACCACTGTACTCCAGCCTGGATAACAACAGTGAGACTCCATCTCCCTGGCTCAAGTGATCCTCCCCCCTCAGCCTCCGAAGTAGCTAGAACTATGGGCATGCACCACCACACCCGGCTAATTTTTGTATTTTTTTTTGTAGAGATGTTGCCTAGGCTGGTCTCAAATTCCTGGGCTTAACTGATCCACCAGCCATGACTTCCCAAAGTGCTGGGATTACAGGCATGAGCCACTGCCCCCAGCCACTGTATATCTTATTTGTTGCTGTATCCCCTGTGTGCCTACAAATGGCTGGCACAAAGTAGGTGATTAGTAAGTGGTTACCGATCAATAAATGAATGAATGATTATATACATTGAAAGTTACATATGAATTAATACAATCATAAGGCATCCAGTAAGCTGGAACACTTTGCCCAGGGTGAACCACGTGGCTTTTCAGGGCAGGCCATGGGTATACAGCCAACAGTAAATGAAGAGGCTGGCTTCTCTTGATAGTGACCCATGATCACTGTGGATCTGGATACACTGCTCCTTCTCACTCTTCTCCCTGTTTGGGGCCCTTAGCAGGGGCTCAGGGTGCCCAGGCAGTTAGTATCACATATGCAGTGCTGCTGTGCCCTACACTATTAAAAATAATAGGCACTCTATTAAAATAATAGCACAGCCCACTGTGTTAAAAATAGGGCACCCTATTAAAAATAACAGCACAGCCCACTGTAGTGCTGCTGTGCTATTATTTTTCAGCTGCACAATAATAACTGTTTTGTCACCGACAATATGCCTGAAATTCTGGTGCTCTATATGGCTTAACTGAATTCTCTCATTAACCCTTAGTGAGAGCCTCCCAACTTTTTTTTTGAGACAGAGTCTCGCTCTGTCCCTGAGACTGGAGCGCAGTGGCACAATCTCGGCTCACTGCAACCTCCACCTCCTGGGTTCAAGTGATTCTCATGCCTCAGCCTCCCGAGTAGTGGGGATTACAGGCAAAAGCCACCATGCCCGGCCAATTTTTGTGTTTTTAGTAGAGATGGGGTTTCACCCAGGCCAGTTTGGCCAGGCTGGTCTCAAATTCCTGACCTCAAGTGATGCACCCACCTTGGTCTCCCAAAGTGCTGGGATTATAGGCATGAGCCACAGTGCCCCGCAGTGATAGGCCCTTTCATTAACAACATTTTTCAGTTGAGAAAACTGGGGCTGAGTTGTGTTAAGCAATTTGCCCAAGATCACACAGCAAAGCAGCAGATTGTAAAAGACTTAGTCCGTCCTGAGGCTGTCACTGACAGGTGAAGCTAAACTATTTCTAGTGATCTGAGTGGACAGAAAGGGAGGAAAACGTGCTGGGAGGTCTGTTCCCACATTGCATTTCAACATCAGGAACCCAGTGATAGTTCCAGCCCCAGTGGGCGGAGATGCTGCTTGTCTTTGACGACAGTCTCCAGGACCCATTTGCTTTTCTATACTGATTAAATGGGCATTTTGTTGTGAGTGGGCACTGGGATTACCCCCTCCTTTCTCAGAGTTCTTGAACTTCTTAGACTCCCAAGGTGGGGGAATCACTTTGGGCTGGTACTTTAGAGGGCAGTGGAAACTACTAAGTATTCGCATCCAGTCGGGTGTGTGTGCCCTGGCTAACACTATTGCCAGGTAGCTGACCACTCTAGCTCATTCCATCCCTCCTTCATAAAATCTGCCCACTGCACTGCAAGGTTAGCCACTGCCAGGACTGCTCACTGAGCAATTATCATTCTTACCATTTTTACACATTTCAACCTGGTTTGCAACCAGCCACTAAGCAGCCATTGCGGTTTAAACAACAATCCTCTTTGGACACAGACATAGAAATCAAAGCCTTTCACACCAAATGCTGGGAAAGTCTGTGATTGTGTTAACTAAGAATGCACTGTTTTCTGTTCTCCATGTCTGTGATTTTCACATTCCTGAGCACTGGCCAAGGGGGTTGTCCAAAATCCCGACAAACAGCATGACCATTGTTTACCTTTTTTTCCTTGGCAGTTTCAGCACTGACTTGCTCTTTTTGCTTTGCTTTGTTTAGAACAAGTAACAGGCAGTAAAGGAACAAAATAGCAGGTCCCAATAGGGGTGACAAAATAATCTTTTTCAGAGTTGAAAACAAGTGTTCAAACAGAACTTGTACATGAATGGTCATAGCAGCACTATTCACAGTGGTCAAAAGGTGAAAACAACTCAAATATCCATCAACACATAAACAGATAAATTGTAGTGTATTCACACAATGGGAAAACAATGAGATATTACCCTGTTATAGAAAGAAACGGCATACTGATACAGGCTACGAAATGTATGAACCTTGAAAACATTATGCTAAGTGAAAAAAATGGGTCAGACACAAAAGGCCAGTATACTATGATTCTATATCAAATATCTAGACTAGGAGAATCCACAGAGACAAAAAGCAGATGACTGGTTGTCAGAGCTTAGGGAAGGTGGAATGGGAAGTAGCTGCTTTATGTATATGGTGTTTCCTTCTAGGGTAGTGAAAATGTTCTAGGACTAGCTGGTAGTGATGGTTGCACAACATTATAAACATACTAAGTATCACTGACGGTAAATTTCGTTATATGCATTTTCTTTGTGTAGCAGACTGGTAACCTGCTGATGTCATAACAAGGCCTGAGGGAGTCACATCTCACACATGCATGTGAAGACCTAACCATCATGCTTATGAACTGCAAAAGGATTGTGTTAGGTGTATTTTATCACAATTTTAAAAACTTTCCCAGGAAGAAAAAGAAAAAATTTTGTTCAGAGATCTTTGGGCATTAACTCAAATTAATATTTACCTGAAACTCCAAAAAGAGAAAATTAACCAATTAAGACATTGGTTACATAGGCATATACATTTGTCAAAACTCCCTGAATTGTACTTAAGATCTGTGTTTTACTATATGTACATTTTACCTCACTAAAAATTGACCAATCAAAAGTAACATAAAATACAACTATACTACCTGTAAAATAAGAGGTGATATTATATTACCTACAAGATTGAATTATACAGCTTCTGAGAATCCAGGTAGTCATTGACAATGCTCTGTGGAGCTCTAGGAAGTCTATTGTGAAGTTATTTAAATTACCACTGAATTCTAGAAGGAATTGCAGTGTGGAGTTGCAATCAAGGTAGATGTTCAGTGTCCCAGAGCATGCTCCTGTTGTGATATTCACAATGATATTCACCAAGTATGAATGTAATTTCACTGAATATTCTTTGGCTATACAGCAGTCAATAATGAGAAGTATCCATTGCAAATAAAATTATTTACAGTTGTCACATGGCTAACTCATCCATCACTACATCCCTACTTCACCAGTGCATAATGTATAAAATCACATTGTATCTGACAAAGGAATCAGTGAAAGATTTTTCTTCTATTTACATTAGAAGCATCCAGTAAAACCATTCCCAAGCAAAAATTTAAGTTTTAAGATCTTCACCAAATATGTATTTATTTACTGAAACCTAGATACATAGAATTACAGTATTAGAATTCTTCTGTAAGCACAGTTTTTCACATGAATTAGTTTCCTCGGTTTTTAAAAATCTCATTGGAATTAGAAGGTGATTGTGAAAGCTTTCAGTTCCAAAGAAACTTTATCTAGTTTTAGTCCTTGTTTATTCCTTGCTGATACCAGATAGAAATAGGGTTATATGAACACCCTTTAAAATGGCCTAAGTCAGCCGGGCACAGTGGCTCATGCCTGTGATCCCAGCATTTTGGGAGGCTGAGACAGGTGGATCACATGAGGTCAGGACTTTGAGACCAGCCTTGTCAATACGGTGAAACCCTGTCTCGACTAAAAATGTAAGAAGTATCCAGGCATAGTGGCCCATGCCTGTAATCCCAGATTCTCTGGAGGCTGAGGCAGGAGAATCACTTGAATCTGGGAGGCAGAGGTTGCAGTGAGCCGAGATCATGCCTCTGCACTCCAGCCTGGGTGATAGAGCAAGACTCCACATCAATAAATAGATAAATAAACAAACAATAACATAAAAATAAAATGGCCAAGTCTAACAGTTCCCCTCACCCCCACAAAAAAAATTAAGGGCTGGGCAGGCTGACTTATATGCAATCCCAGCACTTTGGGAGGCTAAAGCAGGGCAGATCGCTTGAGCCTGGGAGTTGGATACCAGTGTGGCCAGGACCTCATCTCTACAAAAAAAAAAATACAAAAATTAGCCAGTTGTGGGCTGGGCGCAGTGGCTCATGCCTGTAATCCCAGCACTTTGGGAAACTGAGGCAGGCAGACCATGAGGTCAGGAGTTCGAGACCAGCCTGGCCAACATGGCAAAACCCTGTCTCTACTAAAAATATAAAAATTAGCCAGGCATGTAATCCTCGCTACTCAGGAGGGAGAGGCAAGAGAATTGTTTGAACCCAGGAGGTGGAGGTTGCCGTGAGCTGAGATGGCGCCGCTGCACTCCAGCCTGAGTGACAGAGCGAGGCTCTGTCTCAGAAAAAAAAAAATCAGTCAGATGTCATGGTGTGTGCCTGTGGCCCCAGCTACTTGGGAGGATGATGTGAAGGAATCACTTGAGCCTAGGAGGTCGAGGCTGCAGTGAGCTGTGACCATGTCACTGCACTCCAGCCTGGGTGACAGAGTAAGACCATGTCTCAATCAGTCAATCAAAATAAATACATAAATTAAATAAAATTACAAACTCTAGGTAAAACAAAAGCTGATAAAGAAATGTAACAAAAATAAATTTTTAAATGGGTAAGCATACATCTGGAAAAAAAAGAAAAAAAAATAAATAAATAAAAAGAAATTTAACTTAAAAACATTTCTGAACTCTACAGTAAACAACATCTATATTGTCATAATATAAATCCTGTTTATTAAATTTCAGCTTCAAGAATCTATAGTTAGGTTGGGGTGCAGTGACTCAGGCCTGTAATCCCATCATTTTGGGAGGCTAAGGCAGGCGGATCACCTGAAGTTAAGAGTTCAAGACCAGCCTGGCCAACATGGTGAAACCCCATTTCTACCAAAAATACAAAAATTATCTGGGCATGATGGTGTGTGCCTGTAATCCCAGATACTCGGGAGGCTGAGGGAGGAGAATTGCTTGAACCTGGGAGGCAGAGATTTCAGTGAGCCAGTATCATGCCACTGCACTCCAGCCTGGGTGACAAAGTGAGACTCTATCTAAAAAAAAAAAAAAAAGAAAGAAAAAAATCCACAGTTAGACAACATATAGATGTAATTTTGATTACAGGACAGAAAGTAAAAGCTATTCACTTTGTCGATCTAAAACTAAAAGTTCAAATTATGGAAGTTGAAAGGTAAAAGGTAGAAGAGCTCAAAGTGCATGAGGGGCTTATAGTCTCATCTCACAAAACAGGAACCAAAAGACACTACGTAACTAATAGAATTAGAAGTAAAACTGTTAGCATATGACCAAAGTTACTGGAACAGACACACTAGGTAACCAATGTTCATTCCCCTTTACTTCCTTATAATAGAAACCTAGTTTTGTTCAGGGCATCAATGGTGTAATGATGATATGTAATGGATCATTCATAAACCAAGGGATCTTAACGCTGGCTGGCCATTGAAACCACCAATTTAATTGGTCTAGGGCAAGGGTTTTTTTTTTTTTTTTTTTTTTTTTAATAAGACAGGGTTTCACCATATTGATCAGGCTGGTCTTGAACTCCTGACCTCAGGTGATCTGCCCGCCTCAGCCTCCCAAAGAGCAGGGATTACAGGCGTGAGCCACTGTGCCTGGCTCTAGGGCAAGGTTTCTCAAGCTTGACACTACTGACATTTTGAACAGAATAATTCTGTGTTGTTGGGGGCTGTTCTGTGTGTTGTAGGGTGTTTTTCACCATCCTGGCTTCTACCCACTTAATGCTTGGAGCACTGCACCCCCCAGTTACAAGGATCAAGACTGTACACAGACATTGCTAACTTGCCCTTGGTTGAGAACCACTGGCCCTAGGATAAGACCATGTACAGAGACACAAACTTAAAAAGATACCTAGGAGATTGTAATATGTAACCAGGGTTGAGAACTATTGATATAAGCCAATTAGTCAATCCAATTTCTTATAGGTTTTTTCAGGTTCCCTTGCAGCTATGTGTGGCCATGTGACTTAGTTCTGGCCAGTGAGATTTAAGTGGAAGTTTACTTTGCTAGAGGGTTTGTGGGAGGTGGTCTAAGAAAGCTTGTACTTTAATTATTTTATTTTATTTTTATTTATTTATTTTTTTACCGTGTCCCTCCTTGGAAGGTGGCTTCCAGACTGGGCCCGAAAGCTTGTACTTTATTGATGGAAAGGTGACAGACAAAGCTCCTATTTCTTGCCTAGTCTCCTCTTTTTCCTGTTTGTGTGAAGCTGTGATGTTTGGAGTTGCGGCCACCATCTTGTAATCAAATGAAGACAAGCATGAATATAAAAACTAGCCTGTTGAGGATGGCAGAGAGGAAAGATAGGGAAGGCATAAAATAAAAATTTTATTCAATTTTTACTTATTTTTTTTTTTTTTTTGAGACGGAGTTTTCACTCTTGTTACCCAGGCTGGAGTGCAATGGCGCCATCTCGGCTCACCGCAACCTCCGCCTCCTGGGTTCAGGCAATTCTCCTGCCTCAGCCTCCTGAGTAGCTGGGACTACAGGCACGCGCCACCATGCCCAGCTAATTTTTTGTAGTTTTAGTAGAGATGGGGTTTCACCATGTTGACCAGGATGGTCTTGATCTCTTGACCTTGTGATCCACCCGCCTCGGCCTCCCAAAGTGCTGGGATTACAGGCTTGAGCCACCGCGCCCGGCCTTAATTTTTTAATTAAAATTTTTATTTTATTTTAAACTGGGTCCCTGCTGGCAGTTTCTGGTAGTTGAACCAACAATAAGCAGGACTTGTTAAATGAGTACAAATTTCTCCCTGTGTGTTTAAGCTGATGTAGGCAGGTTTTTGTTATCTGAGTGAAAGTCAATCATAACTACTACAGTGACAAATGTAACAAAAGGCAGAAGTAAAAACAGATAGCCTACTGGTAGGATGGAGATGGGAATGAGAGAGAATACTGTAAACAAGCTAAATCCTCATCTCTCATAACAGGAAGCATAAAGGGATAAATAAAAAGTTGTACATATATCCAAAATAATAAAAACATAAGTGCACACAAACACTTATAGATGAACATTCATAGCAGCGTTATTCGTCATAGCCCAAAGTGGAAACAGTCTAAATGTCCATCAACTGATGAATGGATAAATGAAAAGTAGTCTATACAGACAATGGAATATTAACCAGCCGCAATAAAGTAATGGGGCACTGACACATGCTACAACATGGATGAACCCTGAAATCATTACACTAAGTGAAAGAAGGTCACATATTCTGTGATTCCATTTATATGAAATATCCAGAATAGGTAAATCTATAGAACCATAAAGTAGATGGGCCTGGGGTGGTGGCTCACATCTATAATTTCAGCACTTTGGGAGGCCGAGGTGGGCAGATCATTTAAGGTCAGGAGTTCGAGACCAGCCTGGCCAACATGGTGAAACCCCACCTCTACTAAAAATACAAAAAAATTAGCTGGGTGTGGTGGTGCACACCTGTAATCCCAGCTACTCAGGAGGCTGAGGCAGGAGAATCGCTTTTGCAGTGAGTCAAGATCGCGCCATGGTACTGCAGCCTGGGCAACACAGTGAGACAATGTCTCAAAAAA